AGAATCACAGGTCTGGGTTCAGACCACAGCTCAGCCACTTAAATTTCAATGACCTTGGGCAGATTCCTTCACCTCCTTAGGAAGGTGTTTTCTGTAAGAGGAAGCAGGGAGGGCCCTGCAGGGGTTTGAGGCTCCGTGCGGTAATGCACACGCTGTGTTCAACACCAAGCCTGGCCTAAATCCTTGCCCCCTGAGTGCTAGCCATTATTCTCACCATTGCTACAATTGTTGCTGTTATTTCAATTCATTGCATACCAGACTCTGCAAACCTGGTTGTCTTGAAAATCAGATCAGATGTCTGCTAAACTGGAAAGAGACCGTGTGTGTGCATGTGTGTGTGTTGCAATTGGAAGGAAGGCCCCAAATGATGAGTACAGTATTTTATAAGTTTGACAGTAAATTGGAGTTAATTAATTCAAATTAAATTAATGTTAAATTTTAAAGCAAGGGTCAGACTACTCTCACAGGGCTTTTGTAATATGCGCCTAGCTCAGTCTCTGTCACTTAGCAAATACACTTTTACCAGTGTCCAACACAGTTTATTGGAAAGTCAGCTTCCCTCACAGACTAGAGATGACACTTTCATCCCATATTTACCTCTCATATGAATTGGGTCTATTTCTGGACTTGCTATCTGATTGCTTTAGTCTGTCCATTCTGCTTTCACTTTCTTACGCCAGATCCAAGTCTGACTCACCAGAGCTCGTAGAGAGAAACCTCAGCCTTTTCGTAGCTGCTAAAACAAAAGTGGAATGCCTGCATTGTTAAATGACAATAAAGATTAAACTGTTAATGGGATAAAAAGTGTTAATTGGTTTTAACCGCTCTGCAGAAAGGCTGTGCTTTGAAGAATTTCATTACTTTCTATAATTAAACATTAAATTTTAAATACTGAATAGATACACCACCGGGTTTTCAGGACAGTTCTCCTGCCCTTCTCCACTGCTGAGAGTTTAAAATTTTTGTGTGCACGGAGGGTAAATATTTGGTCGTGAAATATATCAACAATACTGCGAAACTTACACTGAGAATGAGGTCATACAGCCGTGAACAACGACGACATTGCAAGAGGTGGACAGACTCGTCTGTAGTAAAATTGTATCTAAAGACCCACAGATACATATTTTAAAGTATCTGTGTTCACTTTTTAAAAGTAAAGTGTTTCCGTAACTTTTGATTTGGTGAATTCCTTTTGTTTGTCATTTGAAAAAAGACTGGAATTTTGAAGTCACCCCTTCATACAGGCTTAAGTTTGAGACTTTAAAAGCAGGAAAAGGAGGGCAGTCATGAATAGCTTACACGGTACCTAGGGCATGTTCTCAAGTGAAGTCACCTCCCGGGGACCCTCTTTTAGAGCTGTTCCTCCCCTTTGAGGGGAACTGGGAGAACCCTGCATAGCGGAGCACCTGATTTGGAGTTCTGTTTCCTGTGAACACGGACATTCATTCACGTGAACTCTGGTTAGTCCTTATTAGAACACAGCAGAGACTAGACTGAGAGTTCTGTTATTTCGAATGACTATGGGAGTGGGGAGATGGAATAGAGAAGGAGAGGATAAATGGAATTTGAAAAAGAGCCATTGAGGGGTGCCCGGGGGGCTCAGTCGGTGAAGCGTCTGCCTTCGGCTCAGGTCATGATCTCAGGGTCCTGGGATCCAGCCCCACGGCGTCTGCCTCCCTGCTCAGTGGGGAGTCTGCCTCTCCCCCAGCTCATGCTCTCTCTCTCTTTCTCAAATAAATAAAATCTGAATGAAAGAAAGAAAGAGAGAGATAGAAAGGAAAGGAAAGGAAACAAGCCATTGAGGGAAAATACTAGGATTTTCTTAGACTCTTACTCTATTGAACCCTATTGACAAACTAACACATGCTGGATTTGGGCGGCCACGCCTGCTGAATTAATCCCTTCCTGACCACTGTCACCTGGTTTCCTTAAAAGACAAATGAAAACAATCTTGTGATCAAGTCTTGTTGCCCCCGTTTTATAGATAAGGGACTGAATTGGTAAAATAATGTGTTACAGGTCAGTCCCCCATTACCTCCTGTTGTTGGCCCCATGCTTCGCCCTGCTAGCACTTACTACAGTTAAGTGTGTCCTTCTCACGACAGTGCTTATCTTCTCCACTCCTTATAGAGCCTCAGAGGCAATGAGTCGTGTATACGTTTCCATCCTTTTCATCCTCCGGCTCAGGACAGTGCCTGGCTTACAGGACCTACTTGATAAATACGGGATAAATGAACATCGCCAGCCATGATGTGATGGTTGAAATCTGTGCCCTTTGACTTTTGGATCTTATACCATTATAATGTCCCCTAGGTTACAATGTCAAAAGCAAAAAACAAACAAACAAACAAACAAAACACCCTGGAAATTAGTGTGTCAGTCCTACTTAGAATTTTTATGAGGCTCTAGTTTGTTCCTTAAAGCTGAAGGGACCTCAGAGATTATATTCTTTAACATTCCATTTTTGGTAAGAAAAAGTATTAATTTTGTGAAAACACCTAGTTATTAGAAAGAGAGCTAACAGTTGTAATTGTCTATAAATTTCAATCAAATTCAGTTGTGAGCCAAGACAAACGTACAGTGTCCCCATTTTCACCTTTTCTCCAAATAAATGCAATTGAGGAACGTGCATATTAGTGGCAAGGGGGTTAGGATACTGAAATGTAGGTCGCACCTCTGTCGCAGCTCTTCCCAAGTTAAGGAAAGGATTTCTTTAGGTTTTTTGTCCTTGTTGTCATGGTGTTTCCTTTCTGACCTTCGGTCTTATGTCACCGTCTGAAGCTGCACAAAGACAGCTTCTGATCGGTCCTCATTTGGGTCCCGAGTGTCATCTCCGGCTCCCCTTAATAAAATGGTGACGTGTAGAAAGAGTTCTATAGGCTGGTGCTTCTCAAACTATAATGTGAAGAGGAGTCACCTGGGATCTAGTAAATGCAGGTTCCGATCCGGTAAACTGGACAGGCTCCCAGTGAGGCTGGTGCCACTGGTCTGTGGACCCCACATAGAGTAGCAAGTCAGAATGACTTCATCTCTCCCCCTGTCTTCTCTAGTACTGGCTTGTCCCCAGAAAACTGTTCAGACATATAAGAAGAGGTAAATCTCTGTATCTGTTCTTACGCACCCCAAGAGAACATGTTTTAAACAATAAGCAGAGAAACCTAAGCTGTTTATTCCAACACTGCAGACAAAAGTCATTAAGTCTGAACTAATTTTACTAAAGAAGTGTGAGCAGCTTGGCTGCAGGTACCTGCATTGAAGAAAGACCACCTTTTACAGAAAATGGCTTCACTTTTTAAAGCCAGCGAGTTTTAATTCCTTGTTTGCTGATCAAAGGCTGGAGTTGACAGGAGTCTGTGTTTCAGAAGCTGGAGGAAACCTCCTGTAAGCTTTCAAATCCTCTCTGGGCAGCTAAGTCCCAGGAAGTGAGCAAGTGTTAGCCATCTGCCTCTCTGTGACTGAGTAAGAAATGACAGTCGGTGTCTTCATTATCTCATTTCCGAGGGCTCATAAGCAGTGCTTTTCAGATGACAATGAACAGGAACTCACATCGGAACAGGCTGTCTCACCACGTGTCAGTCCTTGTCCTGCTCTGGCTGTTGGACTTCGTTGCTCCTTGGAATCAACAAAGAAAGCTCATTTGTTTCCCTTTGTGAAAACACTTCATTTTCCCCCCAGACTTTCCATTTCACGCTGTGTGAATTTTATTAAGATCTTTTTCACAGAAGCTAAGTGCTTGCTCTATGGGGCCCTACGGGATGGCATTCGCAGCCTCTGTAATGTCTGAAGCCTCTTGAGACATTTCTTTTCTACTGAAAACTCCTTGGAGAATTACAGAGAAGAATCCAAAATCCTTTAGGTGCTGGAAGACATAGTTTGGCCCCATGAACATCTCATGCAAATTTTCTGATGTTAGCATCATATTGATAGTGAGTGGGTCTTTCTGAGGGTCTCCAATTATTTTTAAAGGCTGGCTTAAAGTATTAATTAGAAATATTTTTCATCTTGGAATTAGCCTTTGTTAATATAATTTACCTATAATCCTAATGCCTTAACAAGGTGTCAGTGGTTTTATTCCTATAAAGTTGTTTTAGAAAGGTAATTATAATTAAATAGTAGAAAAAGAAATTTTATTCTGATTTTTTCCTCTTGAATGTACATAATAAGAACTTTTAATGTTATATGCTCGCAGAAATGACCTAGTAATCACTGTGTAATAGTCCATCAGATAAAAATACTAAAATAAAGTCACTCATTTCTCTACAGTGGATATTTAGATTGGTCTTTCCACTATCATACGGATCTTATGAGATGAGTGCTGTTATTTTTCCTATATTAGAGATGTGAAAAGGAGGTACAGGCAAGTTATTTAACTTGTCCAAGGTCACACTGCCGGTAAGTGGCAAAGCCAAAATTCAAGCCAAATATCCTCACACCTAAATAGGGACTCCTTTATGCCAGGTCATTTCCTAAGATGCACAAGATTTGCTTAAAGATCACTCGGTTGAAGCTTCAGTCTGTGTATGCAAATCCGTAAACTAAAAAGTGTGTAGTCTTCTTGGTTCCTCCTAGAGTGAGTATAAAACTTCAGATTTTCCTTTGGTTCTTTACATTTCAGGAGCTCTCAAATCATAGGAAATAGTGATGATAACACAAATGTGAAATTCCTTAAAGAAAACAACTGTTTGCTTTATTAGGAAGACAAATGTGAGTGCTGCCCGGCAGTGGCTGAACCCACTTGTATCTGTTTCTGTACACAGTTTTGAACGATGCATCTTTAAAATTGCAAATAGTCATGGGTTTTTGCCCTTCGTTCCGTCTCATGTACCACTTAAAGATATGCTTGTTGGTTGGTTGGCTTGGTCAAGGCTGAATCTGCTCCCCTAACTCCCATGGAAGTCAAGAAGGAGGGTGACACAGGGCAGGGGAATCTTTTACATGGAGAACTGTTACGCACTTGAACACATGAAGACCCATCTCTTTCCCTATCTCTATTCTCACAGAATGTGTGACACAGGAGAAGGACTATTCACTTTTCAAACAAGGGAAGGAGAAATGATCTATCAGAAGGTCCATTCTGCGACACTGGCCATAGCTGAGCAACATGAAAGATTAATGCTAGAAATGGAGCAGAAGGCCCGGGTAAGGCTCCTTCCTTGGTAACCTAACAGCTTGGAAATGAATGTTGCTGAGGTCTGATGCACATCATGTATCTGTGGGCCCATTCACGTCAGCATCCCGGTGTCCACCCCCACCCCCCAGCCCTGAGAGCTCACCCCAGTTACCAAATCCCATGTCTCTAATGCCCTATTCAGCATATGCCCAAAGAAGTTCTTTGTGGCCACAGGTAGGGAGCTATGCACTCCATGTATCTCCCCATGACCTCTTGTCACAGTTACCCAAAGAGGGGTGGGTGCATAGAGAATGAAATACAAAGCTATGCTCTCTGCATATCACCACATACAGTTGGACCATCAGAGATTCAACTGTGGGCCCAAAATAACCAGAGAAATTAAGTTACTGCCAGAAAGGATTCTGCTTTCTTTTTGTCTTTATATTTGTTCTAGATTCTCTGAAACTTCTAACTCTTTCTGTATGTGTTACAGAGCCAATAATAAAATATTTGCAGAAGGAGCTTATACTGCTTACCAACAGTATACTATATATATATATATATATATATATATATATATATATATATATATATATATACACCCCAACAACTATCCTACAGCTCTGTGGTCAAGCTAAGACATAATTTAGCAAAGAATCCGAAATAGTAACTTTTACAAGTAGCTGAAAAAAAATTGTAAGTTCAACTACTAACTTCTTGGAAAAGCAAATAATGGAGTGATTATTGGCCATAATCTGAAGAGGTGACTAGTCTTCAAGATTTATAGAGAGGCATTAGATTTCATTAATGAAGGGACAGGTGCAGTTTTGGAAAATAGGTGGGTCGCTCACTGGAATGACACTCATAATTCTGTTCCAGTTTAAAGAGGACAGAGTTCTATATGTAGTGTTGTATTTGTTTGATTTTTTAAATTACCCATTATATAATATTTTTTTAATTATCCATTATATAATATTTTGACATATACAAAATTATCTTTTAGGTATAAGAAAACAAAAAGTAATTTAGCAAATGATCTTATGTTATTCTTAACGCATTTCTAATTTTGTCAATACTACATACACATTTTTATCTATCTAGGAAAAGCTTTAAAGAGCTTTCCTAATACCTCAGCGAAACAAGTGAAAACCAGGCCTTATGCAGGACATTTGGCCTTTCATAGGGATGAGTGAGTGGTTTGAACATTAGTAGGATTAATATGATTGTGTGATTAATTATTGAAGCATTAATAAGACATTGGTATAACTTAGTCTCCTAGAAAGATTTGGGTTAAATGTAAACCATTTTAACAGTTATCTAATTAATATGACATTTATCCAAGGGCTTAAATCAATGAGAAAATAGAACTACCACATTTCAAATTATTTCAGAATCTACTGGTGTTTGCAACTAAAATTAACAGTGTGATGTCACTTGCTATTAGTTAACAGTTAACAATTAACTACACTTAACAGTTGTAGCTTTACTTATAGCTGTTCTGACCAGCAAAATGCTCATGAGTACAGTCATTTAATTGTATTGCCGTGAAGGAAATGCCAAGAGCTCTTTTACAAAACCGTATTGTCTGCTGTAAAGGAGAGCCCTTGGTATGTGTCCTGGGTTCACATCCCAATTCTACCACTTCCTGGCTGTATCACTTTGGGCATCTTGGGATATTAACTTCTAAATGTTTCCATTTTCTTTTTTTGTAAAATGAGGATATAGTAGTCCTACTTCTTTGGTTGTTATGAGGTATTTGTGCATTAAAATCTGTAAAGTACTGAGAACAGGCCTGGCACATGGCAAGTACCATGAAAAGGTTCATTATTACGATAGTGATCCATCTGTAGGAGTGATTTTGAATAATTATAAGACTTGAAATGTTTGTGAAGACTCTAAACTGTTATTCCCAACTGTTGCTAAATAGTATCTTTCAATCCCTTTCAAGTATGTCTAACAATCTTGTACCAAAAAATTTGCCAAACGAAATTTAATTCGCATTTGGTATTGATGCGGTCATGTGTGATAAACATGATAATGTCCTGTGCGGCTGAGAAGCATGTCCCCAGAGCCAAGCCAAGCAAATGCTGTTAGGGGTTAGCGACCAGCAGTCCACTGACTAAGATCTCAGGCAGGTGACAGCTGGGTAGGAGGAGGGTGCTGCATGGACCTGGGAACTCGGCGATGGAAAAGTGGGGCAGGTGTTTAAATAGCAGTCTCACCAAAGAAACCAAATGTTTCTAAGAATTACAAAATCAGAGACTCCAGCAGTTTGGTGCATACGTGCAAATGGAGCATTTGGTTTAATTTCAAACACAGTTGCACAGCTACGCTTTTCTCTGTAGGTTAAGACTAATAAGATTATTTCATATCTAGTGCATTCTTCAGAATAAGCCAGGCTAATGTTTTCAGAGGCCATGCTACCACAACCTGGCAACTGCCCAAATTCCTCAAATTCTGGGACCATAAGTAAACATTTCCAGGGTTCCCAGACAAAATTTTTACTTTTTCTTTTAAGAGACTGCCTCGACATACACAAATCTCTTTGAAAGAAGAAGTTCCAACAACTATGAAGTAGTATTAAACACTCGGTAACTCTTCATTTGCTTATTTAAATAAAATGAACGCCTGTGTTATAAATTAGGCAAAAGTACAACTTGGGAGCTGGAAAGATACCCCCAAACGTCAAATATAAAAATGATGCATCTTATTTATTATGTATCTCCTACAAAATAAGAAGATGACACTGCTTGTTGGCTTTCCAGTTTTAAAAATGGGCCATGTGAGGGGCGCCTGGGTGGCTCAGTCATTAGGCATCTGCCTTCGGCTCAGGTCATGATCTCAGGGTCCTGGGATCTAGTCCCGCATCGGGCTCCTTGCTCGGCGGGAAGCCTGCTTCTCCCTCTCCCACTCCCCCTGCTTGTGTTCCCTCTCTCGCTGTCTCTCTCTCTCTGTCAAATAAATAAATTAAAAATCTTTAAATAAAAATAAAAATGGGCCATGTGAGATTGTTACTGAGCACATAGAAAATGTTTACATATTTTATTACATTTACATTTATTACATTACAAGATCAAATTAGGAACGAGCTATATAAGCAATAAATGCCCCTGAACATAGTTGTTCAAGCTTCTGACACATTTACTTTCATCCTTTTAAAGAGAGAGGATTTAACAGTGTTACTGTCTTATAGATAAACAAATTTGAATGAAAAATAATATCTCAACAACCATTTCTTAACTGTAACAGAGAATTCAGTATAATCTTTTGACATCACATGTGTGTTTAAAACCTCGGTTTGCCCTTGTTTATTACCTTCCTTCTGGGGGGGAGGGGGAGACACAAGAATAAACATATTTTGATATATTTCCATGATCTAAGTTAAGCAATGTTTCTGTTCTTGTTTGAGAAATCTGATCTCTAGGCACACCTGGGTGGTTCAGTCGGTTAAGCATCTGCCTTGGGCTCAGGTCATGATCCCTGGGTCCTGGGATAGAGCCCAGCATCGGGCTCCCTGCTTCAACTGAGAGCCTGCTTCTCCCTCTCCCTCTATCTGTTGCTCTGCCTACTTGTGCTCTCTATCTCTCTGTCAAATAAATAAATAAAGTCTTTAAAAAAAAAAAAAAGAATCTGATATTTAGAAAAAGTCCCCAGCCTTGTGAATAAAACAGTGCATTTGCACTATAGATAACAAGGATAACAAGAATCATTAAATCAGTAAGGCTATTTAAAAATATTTTTATTTCCTTCACTGAGAAAAATAACAAAAGAATTAATTACTATTAACTGACTCAGGAAGTTTTTAAGTAGAGCTCAGCCATGGATTAACCATTCACAGGTTTGTAAATGGTTTACTCTGCTCAGTAAGCTGCCTGGTGATACACAGAACCCAAGAGAAGAGCAAGAAATTCTTTCTCTCACGTGACCCAGAAGTTTGTGGGATCAAGTAATTTATACTGCCTGAGTAAGATGATCTCACTCCTTTTACTCCTTGAAATATCAAACATTTTCCATGGCTTCATCAGATTGGTAAGATGATGCCATCACAAGATTTTGGTCAGCATTACCGGAAACACCCCCTGGGCTCATTCTGTGGTCATGACAATGGACTCTGACCGATTTCTTAGATCACCAGCTTATTGGAAGGTCCTTACTTAATCCTCCATAAGGAATGAGTTCTGCACTACAAGAAGACACGCCTCCCCTTTTGCTTTCAGATGTAGAGCTTCAGCTTCTCACTCTCCTGTCCAAGTGGGACTCAGAAAATGGTCATAAAAGGAGCTAACAATCCTCTGTATTTTCTTTACCTGCTAACACCTGTATTTTCTTTACCTGTTAACATCTTATGTCAGAGGACAGTTTTGGTTTTGGGGGTGCATGGAAGATTGAAGTATTAAATTTTGAACTAGAACTCTTTCTGAGAGATCCACTAAGTTTCAAATCGTTGAGGAAATGATTAAAGCTAGATGTGTAAGCAAATGGCACCTCCAGAATTTGTTCCCTTTTCACGGAGATCGTTCTTGTTCTTAGAACCCTCAGAGTTCTTTGAATGCTATTACTAAAAGCATTTATAGGTCCTCTGCCGCCTATGTGCCGCATTATCAAGGAAATTTTTCTTGTCTTTGTGATCGAAGCTATTCATTAGAAACCACATCACAAATGTGCCCTTGTGATTCCGCCTGGTGAGGCTGAAATCATCGGAGATGACAAGGCCTCAAATGCCCTGAAATAATTTAATTTTCATGGATCTGTTACACACACACACACACAATATGAAAAGAAGTTCTCTTTTAAATTTGGTTTTTGCATTTGTAAGCTTTACATGTGTTATAAAATGCCCATAGGTAAGGAGGAACTGAGAAGACATGAATATTTTTTAAAAAAATGAATTTTCCTGTTATCTTATCAATAATAAGTAAATAAAAGGAGAGGGGCATTGTCATTAATAACTTCGAACCTTGTAACATTGCAAGTAATTTAAAAGCCTATTTGCAGAAGGACAGCCTCCCATAGTAAGAATTACAGTGTA